GTGGTAGCCAGCAGGGTGGGTGATGGTGGTAGTGATGGTGGTAGACAGCAGTGGGAGGTGATGGTGGTAGTGATGGTGGTAGCAGCAGTGGGGGTGATGATGGTAGTGATGGTGGTAGCCAGCAGTGGGGGTGAAGGTGGTAGTGATGGTGGTAGCCAGCAGTGGGGGTGATGATGGTAGCCAGCAGTGGGAGTGATGATGGTAGCCAGCAGAGTGGGTGATGATGGTAGTGATGGTGGTAGACAGCAGTGGGGGGTGATGGTGGTAGCCAGCAGTGGGGGTGATGGTGGTAGTGATGGTGGTAGCCAGCAGGGTGGGTGATGGTGGTAGCCAGCAGTGGGGGGTCATGGTGGTAGTGATTTTGGTTAGCCAGCAGTGGGGGGTGATGGTGGTAGTGATGGTGGTAGCCAGCAGTGGGGGTGATGTGGTAGCCAGCAGTGGGGGTGATGGTGGTAGCCAGCAGTGGGGGTGATAGTGGTTGTGATGGTGGTGGCCAGCAGTGGGGGTGATGGTGGTAGTGATGGTGGTAGCCAGCAGTGGGGGTGATGGTGGTAGTGATGGTGGTAGCCAGCAGTGGGGGTGATGGTGGTAGTGATGGTGGTAGCCAACAGTGGGGGTGATGGTGGTAGCCAGCAGTGGGGGGCGATGGTGGTAGCCAGCAGTGGGGGTGATGGTGGTAGCCAGCAGTGGGGGGTGATGGTGGTAGCCAGCAGTGGGGGTGATGGTGGTAGCCAGCAGTGGGGGCGATGGTGGTAGTGATGGTGGTAGCTAGCAGTGGGGGGTGATGGTGGGTAGTGATGGTGGTGGCCAGAAGTGGGGGTGATGGTGGTAGTGATGGTGGTAGCCAGCAGTGGGGGTGATGGTGGTAGTGATGGTGGTAGCCAGCAGTGGGGGTGTGATGGTAGCCAGCAGTGGGGGTGATGGTGGTAGCCAGCAGTGGGGGTGATGGTGGTAGCCAGCAGTGGGGGTGATGGTGGTAGTGATGGTGGTAGCCAGCAGTGGGGGTGATGGTGGTAGCCAGCAGTGGGGGTGATGGTGGTAGCCAGCAGTGGGGTGATGATGGTAGTGATGGTGGTAGCCAGCAGTGGGGTGATGATGGTAGTGATGGTGGTAGCCAGCAGTGGGGGTGATGGTGGTAGTGATGGTGGTAGCCAGCAGTGGGGGTGATGGTGGTAGTGATGGTGGTAGCCAGCAGTGGGGGTGATGGTGGTAGTGATGGTGGTAGCCAGCAGTGGGGGGCGATGGTGGTAGTGATGGTGGTAGCCAGCAGTGGGGGTGATGGTGGTAGCCAGCAGTGGGGGGTGATGGTGGTAGTGATGGTGGTAGCCAGCAGTGGTAGTGATGGTGGTAGCCAGCAGTGGTAGTGATGGTGGTAGCCCAGCAGTGGGGGGTGATGGTGGTAGCCAGCAGTGGGGGTGATGGTGGTAGTGATGGTGGTAGCCAGCAGTGGTAGTGATTGGTGTGGTAGCCAGAGTGGTAGTGATGGTGGTAGCCAGCAGTGGGGGTGATGGTGGTAGCCAGCAGTGGGGGTGATGGTGGTAGTGATGGTGGTAGCCAGCAGTGGTAGTGATGGTGGTAGCCAGCAGTGGGGGTGATGATGGTAGCCAGCAGTGGGGGTGTGGATGGTGGTAGCCAGCAGTGGGGGTGTATGGTGGTAGCCAGCAGTGGGGGTGATGGTGGTAGTGATGGTGGTAGCCAGCGTGGTAGTGATGGTGGTAGCCAGCAGTGGGGGTGATGGTGGTAGCCAGCAGTGGGGGTGATGATGGTAGTGATGGTGGTAGCCAGCAGTGGGGGTGATGATGGTAGTGATGGTGGTAGCCAGCAGTGGGGGTGATGGTGGTTAGTGATGGTGGTAGCCAGCAGTGGGGGTGATGGTGGTAGTGATGGTGGTAGCCAGCAGTGGGGGTGATGGTGGTAGTGATGGTGGTAGCCAGCAGTGGGGGGCGATGGTGTGTAGTGATGGTGGTAGCCAGCAGTGGGGGTGATGGTGGTAGCCAGCAGTGGGGGGATGTGGTGGTAGTGATGGTGGTAGCCAGCAGTGGTAGTGATGGTGGTAGCCAGCAGTGGTAGTGATGGTGGTAGCCAGCAGTGGGGGTGATGGTGGTAGCCAGCAGTGGGGGTGATGGTGGTAGTGATGGTGGTAGCCATGCAGTGGTAGTGATGGTGGTAGCCAGCAGTGGGGGTGGTGATGGTGGTAGCCAGCATGTGGGGGTGATGGTGGTAGTGATGGTGGTAGCTACCACCAACAAACAGTCGTCCAGGTGATCAGTGGGACACAATAAACACCGGAAATATTCACTAAAACTGAGATTTTTATTGAAGGGGTAGAGGGAGGGGAGGAAGGGAGGGAGGGGAGGAAGGGAGGGGGGAAGGGATGGAGCTGATGGAGAAGGGAGGGGGAAGAGAGAAGGGAGGGAATGGATGGTGGGTTGAATAGACGGAACACTATCTAGCTATCTATCTATCATGCTCTTAGTCCCGTCTTTACCAGGTACTTTTCTCCAGTTATTTATACACCCACACTACTTATTCTCCCTCTATTTATAGTCCCCCTTTATTTATTTCTGCCTTCCATTTATATACTTCAGTCTTATCCTCCCTGATTCTCAGTCTTCGTAGAGAGTCCAGACTGAGTACCGTCAGTCTGGACTCACATGAAAGATATTTCTGACTCATAGGAAAGATATTTTGACACATGGGATCCACTCTGTCATTCTTCTCTATGTTTTCCAGCACGTGTATATTCACTGTGTACTATGTTGACCAGAACTGTGCAGCATAATCTGAGGTCTTAACAAGGATGTATAATATTGAAGTATAACCTGACGACTCCTGTTAGTTATACTTCTTGATATGAAACCAAGAATTGTATTCGCTTTATTGTGAACACTTACCGTAGACTTATGTTAAACAGAATTCCATCGTTTTTAAGATATAAGGACAGTCGACTGATGGCTTCACAATCACATGCTTACACTATGGTAGCACAATCACATTAACCATGGTAGCACAATCACATTAACCATGGTAGCACAATCACATTAACCATGGTAGCACAATCACATTAACCATGGTTAGCACAATCACATTAACCATGGTAGCACAATCACATTAACCATGGTAGCACAATCACATTAAACCATGGTAGCACATCATATTAACCATGGTAGCACAATCACATTAACCATGGTAGCACAATCACATTAACCATGGTAGCACAATCATATTAACCATGGTAGCACAATCACATTAACCATGGTAGCACAATCACATTAACCATGGTAGCACAATCACATTAACCATGGTAGCACAATCTCATTAACCATGGTAGCACAATCACATTAACCATGGTAGCACAATCACATTAACCATGGTAGCACAATCACATTAACCATGGTAGCACAATCACATTAACCATGGTAGCACAATCACATTAACCATGGTAGCACAATCATATTAACCATGGTAGCACAATCACATTAACCATGGTAGCACAATCACATTAACCATGGTAGCACAACCACATTAACCATGGTAGCACAATCACATTAACCATGGTAGCACAATCTCATTAACCATGGTAGCATAATCACATTAACCATGGTAGCACAATCACATTAACCATGGTAGCACAATCTCATTAACCATGGTAGCACAATCACATTAACCATGGTAGCACAATCACATTAACCATGGTAGCACAATCACATTAACCATGGTAGCACAATCACATTAACCATGGTAGCACATCACATTAACCATGGTAGCACAATCACATTAACCATGTAGCACAATCACATTAACCATGGTAGCACAATCATATAACCATGGTAGCACAATACATTAACCATGGTAGCACAATCACATTAACCATGGTAGCACAATCACATTAACCATGGTAGCACAATCACATTAACCATGGTAGCACAATCTCATTAACCATGGTAGCACAATCACATTAACCATGGTAGCACAATCACATTAACCATGGTAGCACAATCTCATTAACCATGGTAGCACAATCACATTAACCATGGTAGCACAATCACATTAACCATGGTAGCACAATCACATTAACCATGGTAGCACAATCACATTAACCATGGTAGCACAATCACATTAACCATGGTAGCACAATCACATTAACCATGGTAGCACAATCACATTAACCATGGTAGCACAATCACATTAACCATGGTAGCACAATCATATTACCATGGTAGCACAATCACATTAACCATGGTAGCACAATCACATTAACCATGGTAGCACAATCACATTAACCATGGTAGCACAATCACATTAACCATGGTAGCACAATTCATTTAACCATGTAGCACAATCACATTAACCATGGTTAGCACAATCACATTAACCATGGTAGCACAATCTCATTAACCATGGTAGCACAATCACATTAACCATGGTAGCACAATCACATTAACCATGGTAGCACAATCACATTAACCATGGTAGCACAATCACATTAACCATGGTAGCACATACATTAACCATGTAGCACAATCACATTAACCATGGTAGCACAATCACATTAACCATGGTAGCACAATCACATTAACCATGGTAGCACAATCACACACGGAGTTACTACCACTTAGGAATTACCATCTCTCAGGGGAAACCATCCCGCACACTGGAAAAATGGATTTTTTGGGGCAGATATCTCCATCCGTAGAGAGTAAGGCAACAAGACTGTTATATATATAATGGGAGAAAGGACATCTGGACGACATTATGAACAAATAAATACATATACATATAGACACCATGTTAATCTATTGTTGGGCAGTGATTTTGCAACCACAACCAGACTGAGTCATAAAAAAACATGACAACCATTAAATTTGGTTGACCCAAGAATTGAGAGGTGGGGAGGGGGAATGGTAGGGGTTAGGGGTGACGGAGAGAGGGGGGGTAAGAGATTGTCTCAGTAGGTAGACTGCAGAATGTAAACCTGACTGCTGGTGCAGAGTCCTGACCTCAGTCGTGTGGTGAAGTCTGAGGAAGTCACGCGTGGCTGGTGGAACATGAAGCCTGCTAGTATCTAATTAACACCTAATTACCGCTTCCTAACACCTGCTCCTTACCTCCTAGACGAGCCTACCTCGCCTAAGTAAGTCTTAGAAGTACCTAACTTACACGATGCCTTGAAAGTGTTTGTTGTGTACAGTATTCTCTCCCCCCAGCGAGGGCGCTTAAGAGGCGCCTAAGTTTCTCTGTCTCCTTATATCATGTTTATTTTTCCATTATAATCTACCTTTTCCATAATTACTACCACATTTGCTTTGTCTGCTTTCGTAAAGTGACGTCCAGGATCTTTCCTTAATTCATGGTATAACTTAACAAATATTTTAAGACAATTGTGTTGCAGATGTCCGAACTTTGCTCACACCTCTGCAACACACTAATTAATCTGAAAAACAACCGAACCTCTTGACCCAGCCACGTGATTTATATATATATTATATATATATTTATATATATATATTATTATATTTATATATATATATGGAATGTGGTTTAGGGGTTGTTCGAATGATTGAGGGTGTGAAGGAGGTTTTGCGTTGCTGAGGCTTGAGCATCTGTCAGGCGTGTGTGGAGGTGTTAGATCGGGGTGAGTGGAGACAGTGTTTTTTGGGAGGGAGTTAATGTGCTGTTGGAGTGTGCATGGTTTTTGATCCAATTTTAGTTACTCTTTCCTTCCTCGGTTTAAACTCGACTACATCCCATTCTCCGGGTGCTGTATGACCACGTACGGGTTTAGTGCTTGGCCAGACTTAGTTATAATAGCATGAGGTGGTCTGGACCAGCTGCTGGACCAGTTCCAGTGGTCCAAGGCCACAGACTGTGTTTTTATTTCATCTCTGATGATTGTTGACCAGTGTGTGAATATTGTTTTGTCACGCGACCTCTCTCTCTCTCTCTCTCTCTCTCTCTCTCTCTCTCTCTCTCTCTCTCTCTCTCTCTCTCTCTCTCTCTCTCTCTCTCTTCTCTCTCTCTCTCTCTCTCTCTCTCTCTCTCTCTCTCTCTCTCTCTCTCTCTCTCTCTCTCTCTCTTCTCTCTCTCTCTCTCTCTCTCTCTCTTCTCTCTCTCTCACACACACAATAATTATGAGGTAAAAGAAGTCAACAACAAGAAATATATATATATATATATATATATATATATATATATATATATATATATATATATATATATATATATATATATATATTATGGGTGGAGACTCAGTTCCTGGCCCCTCCTCTTAACCTGTAAGAGCCCACAGTGTGTATGCCCACACCTGTGTCGTGGGCTGAATGGTTAATGGGTAGTTGTAGTAGTGGGTTTAATTAGGCTACTGTGTACGTGGTAGTGTACGTGCCCACGGACCCATCATGGTCTGTAATTACTGCAATACTGCCAACCACTAATTAACCCAGGGTAATTACTGAAGTGCCTTGCCTACTGTTAAGCTGTTGTACTCTTGGGAGGGAGAGAGAGAGAAAGAGAAAGAGAGAGAGAGAGAGAGAGAGAGAGAGAGAGAGAGAGAGAGAGAGAGAGAGAGAGAGAGAGAGGCTGACTTTCTTTCAGATGTTTGGTGAAATATTTCAAATGAATTCTTGGAATAAATATTTTTTAGTGTATAATAAAATACTAATCTTAGTCTCTCTCTTTCTTTCTTTCTCTCTCTCTCTCTCTCTCTCTCTCTCTCTCTGACCGAAGTAATCAGAGGTCAATGATTTTACTCTGTTTTAGCTTTCTGCTTCTTCCTTCCCTCCCTAACTCCCTCCCTCCAACCTTCCCTCCACATTATTTGTCATTTAATAAATAATAATAATAATAATCATAGTGAGAATAATAACCTATCATAAGACAACCGTCCACAGGCTAACAGTCAAGATGGCGCCACGACTGCTCTTCTTGGCCGTTCTTGTCGTCTTCCGTGAGTTCTTGTCGTCTTAAATGTGCACCGTGGATCTACGTACATGTGATGTACGCTCACGTGTGTGCACACACACCTGGGATGCATGTTCACACGAGGCTTGTACATGTGTGTGTGTGTATTATATCAGTGTCTCAGCTACTGGCATAAGTCACCTAATTACTGCCTTAACAATCACCTAACTACTGCCTTAATAATTACCTAATTACAGCTTTAACAATCACCTAATCACTGCCTTAACAATCACTTAATCGCTCCCTTAACAATCACCTAATTACTGAATTAACACACCTAATTACTGCCTTAACAATCACCTAATTACTGTCTTAACAATCACCTAATTACTGTATTAACAACTAATTACTGCCTTAATCACCTTCGTTATCTTCTTCGAACCCCACGACAATCACTGCCTTAACAATGACCTACTTACTGCTTTAATACTCACCTAATTACTGCCATAACAGTCATCTAACTACTGCCTTAACAATCACCTAACTACTGCCATAACAATCACCTAACTACTGCCATAACAATCACCTAACTACTGCCATAACAATCACCTAACTACTGCCTTAACAATCACCTAACTACTGCCATAACAATCACCTAACTTCTGCCTTAACAATCGCCTAACTACTGCCATAACAATCACTTAAAGCCACAATCACACAACTCTCCTTCTACAACCACCTAATTGTTTGTTTCTCAACAGTGACAGGAAGGAGCACAGTGACAGCCAGCTGGCTGTCAGACCAGCTGAACAGTTTGACCTCCTCTGTCAGCAGCTGGTTCAACAATCTGTCATCCTCCTTTGACAGGTCTTTCAGCAAACTGTAAGTGCATATTGGGGATTTGAGATAATCTGAGATGATCTGTGATGATTTGAGATGATCAAGATGATCTGAGAGATCCTATGATCTGGATGATCTAAGATGACCCAAAAGTTCTTGATAAGTTCAAACCCGGGGTTAAAATTGTAGTTTAAGTTAATCCCAGGTTGATATACGGCGGTGTTACCATCCCAAACCATTCTTCTGAGGGTTTAACAAGTAGACAACCAAACATCACAGTTCCACAAAAACGAATTGATGGCAAATCCAAACTCATTATTCCAGGGGGGTACAGATGACAGAGGGGGGAAAAAGACACACTGGGGGGCTGGCTTGGGTACCTCAACCAATTCCTTTTTTTGTGTTATTAAAAAAAAAAACAAAAGACTGGGAAAAAATAGTGTTGATTCTTCATGATTTGGAGACTATGGCCAGGAGGATGAGTTCCGGGTCAGAGGCTAAAAAAGGGGGCGATGGTGAGAGACCATGATGGCCTTTTTGCAACGTCCAAATGTTTTGGGAATGTGGTTTAGGGTTGGGAAAAAGGTTCTGTGTGTGTGTGGGGTTTGTGTACTCACCTAATTGACTCCCCTAATTGTGGTTGGGGGGTCGAGACTCAGCTCCTGGCCCCGCCTCTCACTGATGCTACTGGATCCTCTCTTTCTCTGCTTCCTGAGCTTTGTCATACATCTTTTAAAACTATGTATGGTTCCTCCTCCACTACTTCACTTGCTGGGCATTCCACTTGCTGACAACTCTTTGACTGAAAAATACTTCAAACGTCCCTTTTACCGTTGAGTTTCAGCTTCCATTGTGACCCCTTGTCCCTGTTCCCCCCTCGGGAACTCCATCTCTGTCCACCTTGTCAATTCCCCGCAATCTTGTATGTCGTTTCAGTCCCCCCCTGACCCTTTGCCTCCAGTGCGTCAGTCCGATTTCCTTAACCCTTTTTCCCTGTACGGCATTCCCTTGAGCTCTGGGACAGCCTTGTTGAAAACCCTTTTGTACTTTCTCTAACTTTTTACGTGCTTGACCAGGTTGGGGTTCCAACTGGTGCCCCCAACTCCATAGGGGCCAACATACACGGGTTACAGTGTCTTAAACGTTTCCTTTTTAAGGTATCGGAAAAACCTATTCTCGGGGTTTGCCAGGCCCCGTATGCGCAGGGGGTTTTTTGGGTTGATGTGTGCCCCCGTGATGTGCTCGGTGTTAGGTACCCCCAAGGGCTTTCTCCCTGAGTGTGTGTGGGGTGTGTGTGTGTGTGTATGTGTGGTTTGTTGTGTGTGTGGTGTGTGCGGTGTGGGTGGGGTGTGTGTGGTTTTGTGTTTTTTTGTGCCACCCTTTCCCGAAAAACACTAAGAGCACAAAATCTGGGGTCTTTTCCCCCAAAACTGCTGCTTCTCAGACAATGACTTTTTTATGAAAACACTCTAGTACCTCCCGCTCACGCTAAAAACCCCACCCAAAAAACACACACCCCCACCACACACACACACAAACACCACACACACACACACTTTCCTAGAAGCGACCAGCGGGGGGCGGCACCAAAAGCTGTGAACGACCCCTGCTACCACAAATAGGTAGTCACTATCCCCACACCGGGGGTGGTTTTTAGTTTTAGGGTGATGGTGTGTAGACATATGGTGGAAAAGGTACAGAGTGGGGTATGGGGAGCTATGGTGGGAGTGGTGCAGTAGTGGTGGAGTGGAGCAGTATGGTGGGAGTGGTTGCATAGTGGTGGAGTGGAGCAGTAGGTGGTAGCAAATGGTGGTAGTGGTCAAGTTGGGGGTAGTGGTAGCAGTAGTGGTGGTAGTGGTAGCGTAGTGGGGGGGTGGCATAGGGTGGTAGTGGTAGCATATGGTGGTAGTGGAGCAGTAGTGGTGGGAGTGGGCAGATGGGTGGAGGGGAGCAGTGTGGTGGTGGGAGCAATGGGGTATGGGCAGTAGTGGTGGGTAGTGGTAGCATAGTGGGGTAGTGGTAGAGTATGGGGGTATGGGGCAGTGTGGTGGTAGTGGTAGCAGTAGGGGGTGGTATGGTAGCAGTATGGGGGTATGACGCATAGTGGTGGTAGTGGTACAGTATGGGGGTGTGGCAGCAGTAGTGGGGGTATGGGAGCGGTGGTGGAGTGGTAGCAGTATGGTGGGGAGTGGTAGCAGTAGGGTGGTAGGGGAGCATATGGTGGTAGTGGTGCATAGTAGTGGGACATAGTGGTGGTAGTGGTAGCATAGTGGTGGGATGGTACAGTAGTGGTGGTAGGGTGCAGAGTGGGGGTGTGGCAGAGTAGTGGTGGGGTGGGACAGTATGGTGGTATGGGAGCAGTAGTGGGGGTATTGGGACAGTAGTGGGGTGTTGGTGCATAGTGGTGGGTAGTGGTAGCAGTATGGTGGGAGTGGTAGCAGTGGGTGGTAGTGGGGCAGTAGGGGGTATGGGAGCAGATGGTAGTGGTAGCAGTAGTGGGGTAAATGGTGCAGTAGTGTGGTAGGGTAGCAGTAGTATGGTAGCAGTAGTGGTGGGTGTGGAAGTGTGGGTAGTGGGGAGCAGTAGTGGGGTATGGGAGCAGTAGTGGGGATGGAGCAGTATGGTGGTATGGTAGCAGTATGGTGTAGTGGTACAGTGTGGTGGTGTGGGAGAGTAGTATGGTAGCATATGGTGGTATGGTAGCAGTATGGGGGTAGTGGAGCGTATGGGGGATGGTAGCAGTAGTGGGGTGTGGGCAGTAGTGGGGTAGTGGGACAGTATGGTGGTAGTGGTAGCAGATGGTGGTAGTGGTACAGTAATGGTAGAGTAGTGGGGGTATGGGAAACATAGTGGGGGAGTGGTAGCGTAGTGGTGGTAGTGGAGCATAGTGGTGGTGTGGGACGTAGTGGTGGTGGGGGAAACGTAGTGGTTGTGGTAGCAGTGTGGGGTAGTGGTGCGTATTTGTGGTACGTGTGGGGTAGTGGTAGCAGAGTGGTGGTAGTGGTACAGTAGTGTGGTATGGTAGCATATGGTGGGAGTGGTAGCAGTAGTGGTGGGATGGCAGCAGTATGTGGTAGTGGTGCAGTAGTGGGGGTAGTGGAGCATAGTGGTGGTAGTGGTAGCGTAAGGGTAGCAGTAGTGGTGGTAGTGGTAGCAGTAGTGGTGGTAGTGGTAGCAGTATGGTGGTATGGGAGCAGTATGGGGTGTGGCAGCAGTATGGGGTAGGGTACAGTATGGGGGTAGTGGTAGCAGAGTGGTGGTAGTGGAGCAGTAGTAGTGGTAGCAGTAGTGGTGGAGTGGTAGCAGTATGGTGTAGTGGGGCAGTAGTGGTGGTAGTTGCAGTAGTGGTGGTAGTGGAGCGTAGTGGTGGTATGGTAGCAGTAGTGGTGGTATGGTAGCAGTAGGGGTGGTATGGTGCATGTATGGTAGCATAGTGGTTGTAGTGGGAGAGTATGGTGGGGTGGTAGCAGTAGGGTGGTAGTGGAGCAGTAGTGGGGTAGTGGTAGCAGTATAGTGGGAGCAGTAGTGGTGGTGTTGTAGCATATGGTTAGTGGTAGCAGTAGTAGTGGTAGCATAGTGGTGGTAGTGGTAGCAGTAGTGGTGGTATGTGGTGGTATGGGAGCAGTATGGTGGTTGGGAGCATAGTGGGGGTATGGGAGCATGTGGTGTATGGTAGATAGTGGGGTAGTGGTGAGTAGTAGGGTAGCATAGGGGGTAGTGGTAGCAGTGTGGTGGTAGTGGTGCGTAGTGGTGGTATTTTCAGCAGTAGTGGGGGTATGGTAGCGTAGGGTGGTAGTGGTAGCAGTATGGGGGTAAAGGGATAGTGTGGCAGTGAGGTAGTAGTGGTAAATGGTATAATGGTGCAGTGAAGTATGGTATTGTTTTAGTGATGTGGTAGCGATGGTAGTAATGGGAGCAGGCTAGTGATGGTAGTAAAGGTAGTAATGGGATAGTGGAATAAGGTAGTGTGATGTGAGGTAGTGATGGTAGAAGTGATAGTGATGGAGTAGTGGTAGGATGGTAGTAATGGGAGTGGGAGCAGTGGTATTAATGGTACAGTGTAAAATGGTAGTAGTTTTAGTGATGGTAGTAGTGGTAGTGATGGTAGTAATGGTAGTAGGGGAAAGTAATGGAAAGTAGGGGTTAGTCATGGTATTGGCAGTAAGGGTAGTAGTGGAATAAGGTAGTGTGGTAGTGGTGGTAGTAGTGTATTTGAGGGTGGTAATGGGTATAGTGTGGGTAAGGGTAGTAGTGCAGTGGTAGGAAGTTGCAGTGGTAGTTGTAGTAATGGTATTGGCAGTAAATGGTAAGTAGTTGTAGTAATGGGAGTAGGGCCAGTGAGGTAGTTGTAGAAAGGTAGTAGCTGTAGTAATGGTAGTAAGTGGCAGTAATGGTATTTAGTTGTATAATGGTAGTAGTTGTAGTAGTGGCAGTAAGGGTTTAGTAATTGTAGTAAGGGTTATTTAGTTGTAGAAAAGGGGCAGAAATGGTAGTAGTAGTAGTTGTAGTAATGGCAGTGGCAGTTAATGATAGTATGGTATTTATTTTATAGTAATGGTAGTTTTTGTATGGTAGTGAAAGTAATGGTAGTAGTGGTAGTGATGGTAGTAGTGGTAGTGATGGTAGTAAAGGGTTAAGGGGTAGCAGTGATAGTAAATGGTAGTAGTTTTAGTGATGGTAGTTGGTATCGATGGAAAGTAATGGTAGCAGTGGTAGTGATGGTAAAAATTGGTAGTAGTGGAAGTAATTAGTAGAGTTAGTGATGGTAGTAGTGGGTAGTGATGGTATAGTAGTGAGGGTTTAGTTATGTGTGGTAGTGGTAGCGATGGTAGTAATGGTAGTAGTGGTAAGTTATGGTAGTATTGGTAGTGTGAAAAGTAAAAGTGATAGCGATGGGTAGTAATGGTAGTAAGGTAGTAATGGTAGTGGTAGCAGTGGTAGCAATGGTAGCAGTGATAGTAATGGTAGTAGTTTTAGTGATGGCAGTGGTAGCGATGGTAGTAATGGCAGCAGTGGTAGTGATGGTAGTAATGGAAGTAATGGT